CACACACACACACACACACATAGATTAAAAGAAAAAAAAAGAAAACTTCCAGTGCCACTTTCTTTGCACAGTTTGAAAAAAAAAACAACATACACCTTCTGATTGTATTTACTAATTAAAAGACTATCTTATGGTGGAAGAGAACAAAATTCATCCATAAGCAAAGTGTGTGCATGTGCAAAACCTCTCCCACACACACACATGCACACACACAAAAAGCACACTTTCTCTCTGGCATGATCACTGCAACCACAGAGTGCAAGTCAGGTTGTAGGATTTGGCATATCCTCACCAGGTTATGAAAGAGAATACAACAGTAATTGCAAAAGTAACTGTGGGGTCTCGCCTGCAGAGCTAGAGTCAACAACCACCCACAGAATGTTTAAGACACGGCGATCTAGAAAAAATATCCTGGAATTACCGAGGGAAACATCATACAAAGAGGGTCAAACTAAGCCCGCACCTAATATTTAAAGGTTTAAGATGGTCTACACTCAAAAACCTACTAAAAATAGACTTGCAAATCGTTGGGTGTGTAAACATCCAGCAGGAGGAAATTCATTTTCTGGGGCCAAAAAGGGGCTCCTGTTGTTCATAGAGATCAAATCTACCAAGAGAAAAAAAAACAACAAAAAAAAAACATTCCCCCTTAAGGAGTTGGGGAAGGGGATCATATAAAATATTGCGAATGAACACCTTCAAACTCGTACAAAAGCAGAGCGTCGGCTTTGCCATGCTGGAGCGATCAACGTAAACGGTGCCTGTGGCGAGCGGCGCACTGAGAGGGCACTTAAATCTAGCGGGAACTGGCCGGTGTTCTTTCTGACTCGGCCTCCGCAGCACTTCAGCGTCTGAAGCATCTGTGATAAGGCTCGACTGGCCCATCTGCTCTGAGATAGCACTGGCAATAACGCTCCTGCTGATCGGCTCCAATCTGCACTCCACACAAACACTTCTGATTTGTTTCTGTGCTATGCAGCCAGAATATTAACAACGACCACACTGGGTGTGTTTGTAGGTAGTGGCTGCCTGGACGCCATCGGACACTTAAGAAAGTTTTAAATGTTAAATTATCACAAAAAGGCTGAAAACGGTCATTATTCTCTTCCTGAGGTTTAAAGTAGTTTCAGTGAGATTCCTCAGACAGGTTTTGTGAAGCAAGAAGAAGGGCATCCGTATGTTGCTCTGCGCCGCCCACTTTAAACAAAACACAAATCCGCATATTTGAGATGTTGTTTTATTAACATATATTTTTATCACTGAAAACGGAATGTAACGGGTTAAAAATTTAAATAAATTCTGACAATTTATGGAGACCTCAAGCTAAACGCATTTGTGAAAAATTAACTTTTGCATAATCTTTTTTTTCCTCCTCTGCCTTTTCCCAGTGCTAAATCCAAACATCCAATCAGAGGCAGGAGGACGGTCTTAATGCTGTCAATCACAAACTCGTGTGGTGCTGCTCATTCCCCCTTGCTCTCTGCTAAGCTGCAACTAGCATAACTCGTTATGAATGCTCAGTCTAGTTAGCACGATGTTAAATGAACTGAACTTATAAACTACTTTTCCAATCATTTTGACCACTCAAAGCACTTTACACTAGAGTCACATTTACACTCACCAATGCACATTTGTGCACCAATACGCAGATCAGTCTGGTGGCAGCTGAAATCAAACCAACAACCTTCTCCTCACAAGACGACTACTCTACTCACAGAGCCACAGTCGACATAACAGAGAAGACAGTTGCTGCAAGTTAAATCGGCTAAAAGCTTTCCTTAGAGGCTACAACCTACAAATAGGAACAAAATTCACTGTTTTTTTGTTATGTATAAGCCTTTGAAACATCACCATGGTTACAGTCAATCCATTGCAGCTCCAGCCACCACACTTTTCCTCCAAGTCAAAGTCTTTTCCTCTAGCAACCACATAAAGGCCCGAAGCCCGACTGGAACACATGATGTAGGGCTAAACGCTGCCATCAACAACAGCCCCACCGCAGGCACTTAACACATGCACCTGCCCAGGCAAGAGCACGACGACTGGCACCCCATGCTGGTCATGTGCTGCTTCATTCAGTCACAGAGGTGCAGCTTGGGCTGCTGAATTCTATTTTCCGCCCCGGGCAAGCACACATGTGGCCAGTAAATTATAACGTGTGGTTTGGTTCGATGATTAAATCGGATTATTCTTCTGTTGGGAATTGGTTAAGGCAATATCTGCCATGAACTCCTAAACATAACTCATCCTGGGTGGCACTTTGACCACACTGACAAGATGCAGACGACTAAAAGAGACGGAAAAGGAAAAGCTGCGTCATTAACGGGCCTGAACTGTATGTTTAAAAAGTGTTGAGAAGATAAGAGGAGTAAACAGTCATACACAGAGCATCAGAGCTATGCATAGATAAACTTTCCTGCTTTTGGCTGAATTTCAAAACCAGATTTATTTCATATATGATAAATGAGATGCTAACCATACAGGAAAAAACCTGTATCAGGGTTTCTGCAGGTTGCACCAGCTCAAATTTAACACTTTTTAAAAACCGTTATGAATGAAATTTAAGACCTGTACTATGAGAAAAAAGTACAAAAGAAAATTACATACTTTATATTGTAGTAGTGCCAAGCTTTTTTTTTTTTTGCACAGAATGCATTGCGATAGATTTACACTTACCCATGAGAAGCAAAAAGCTAGCTCGCTAACTAGCAAGGGTATGTTAGCAGCTAAGCGGTCTGTGTGCGATGCGACTCCAACATTTGCCTGACAGAAAAGTCCAGCGAGAAAAATAAACTACATTGTATATATGAGAGTAACTAGCCCTGTCGCAACACAATTTAAGACCTGTGATTAACATAGTTTAAAGGTGAATTTAAGACACTTTAGATGCATAAATTTAAGATTTTTTTAAAAGACTTTTTAAGGACGCGCCTGTGCAACCTGTATATTTTGGTTCATTTGATATCAGAAAATTTGGGGGAGGGAGGAAGTACATTTACTGACCACTTCATAAGAATTATTCAAACCCCTTGGACTATTTTATATTTTGTTCCATTCTGAGTGTGCGTTTCAGGGATTTCCATGGGAGAAAAATATAAAAAATGTTTCTTTGAAAAATAACAACAACAAAAAAAATCTGAGTTGGAAAGAAATTAAATTAAATAGAGATAAAAACGATCCTTAAAGAAATAGTTGCAAGGGGGAAGACGTGCTTCTTTGCAAGTAGGGAAAACTTGCTTTTTTTTTATTTGCCACAAGTACTGTACGGGTCAAATGAGACCAAAACTAAATTTTTAGCCCACATGCAAAACATGATGACTGGGAGAAAACCTACTCTGCACACCATCTCTGCATGATGATGCAGTGGCGGCTACATCATCATGCTATATATACAGATAGAAACACAAGGGATTGGTTTAGTCCAGACCTTTATTTGTGGCGTGATTTTAAAAGTGATTTTTCAGAGATGCTCTCAGTGCTAGTTTGCAAAAACGAAAGGGCTTAATATTCAGGATGTACATGTGCAAAGTTGGAAAAATGTAACTGCACCAAAAATACTGACTTATGGGTGGGCAGAATATACACACATGCATCCTTCTGTGTTTGTCTCTACCACATAAAATGCCAATAAGATGCGTTTAAGTTTATGGTTGTAACATAAAACATGGAAAGCTTTCAGTGGGTATCAACACTTTTGTGGGAGAATGTTTGTGTTTCATTTCTCCTTCTGTTTATTCTATGCAACAGCGATTTCACAATGAATCTGATAAAAACATAATAAATTTGCATATTTTACAAATTGAAAAGAAGGTGAAATATTTACTGGCAGCGAACCTTGAGATTCTTCTCAGTCTTTTAATTTTCAAACACACAAAAAAAATGGACCGATCAGAAATGAAACAAGACGAAACATGATTATGGCTTGGCAGCTTTTTATTATTTATTTATTCTAAATATAAAACTATAGTTTAATGTGGTACTCCTTCCCTGGAAATCTAACAAGTCACCTGCTAATTGTCGCCCTCTTCGTTAGACGATGTGGTGATTAACTCTGTAATCAAATCCCTAAAGTTAATGACAGAAATCATGCGAAAGGACTGGAGCTTCACAGCAATCACACAAGGATTGTTAGAAACCCAAGTAAACTGGAAGGTGAAATCAGCTCTAGCTTTAATTAAAATCACAGAAAGTGGTGAAGATGACGATCACATTTACAACTATCAAGGCTTCTTAAAGAATTTAATTTGTACAAAGTTAGTTAAAACTGGCTGCTCATCTGCATAAAAATTAACTCCATGAAGATTTCCAGTCTGCTTTTAGAGTTAATACAGACACTTTATTTTGATAATAATATTAAGGTAAAATGATATTAAGGCACACAACTGTTATTTTGGAGGTTTGATTTATGTGTCTCTAACTAGAGGGCCATATCAAAAGACTTGGTGGACTGGATTTGGCCCCCTGGCCTTGAGTTTGACATATATCCCATTCTCCCATTGGGTGACATAATCACAAAACACCCAGGTTTATGTGTCTGAGTTTCTGAAAAGCAACTTGCCCTACAGAATTGTCTCAGAGGTATAAAATCTGGAGTGAAAAATAATTGTTTCCCCTTAAATTCGGAGAAAACTAAAGTCATGTTGTTGTTTCTGAAAAGCTCCCTGATTCAGTGACCAGCCATAAAGTGCAGTGGAAAGAACCTCAGGGTCATTCATGACCATGACATTCATTTTTATTACACACATTAAACTAGACTCTCAAGCTAACAGCTTTACAGTGTTTTTGTTTTATGGGATTTAAAACCACCTCTGTAATATCTATCTATCTATATATATATATATATATATATATTTTCATCAACTTCCCTCTGTAAATGAATATTTTATTGCAATTTCTGTTAGCAATAAACAGAAATTCCTCATTCCGCTTTCTTATTTTAAGTTCTGTTTGAAAAGCGCGTTAGGGAAAAAAAAAAAAAAGGACGGCTGAACTCAACTTACTGGTTCTGAGCAAGACAGCCAGGGGCCACGGTGTTCTGGGAGTGAGGAGTTCTCTGTACACTTGTGAGTTCCAACATGTCCACTTGCACATCAGTCACGTGACCAGGCAAAGGGTCAAGCACGGTAAGAATCTTTTCAGCCAGGTTGTCACCGTGATGGCCGACAGCCCCTTTGTGAATAAAGAAAGCACAGAGTGAGCGCACACAGAAAGCTTTTAAATGATGCATTGGTCTGTGCGCCGTCAGTCGCAGCATTATGAACACTGACAGGTGAAGTGAATCATGCATATCAGGTAGCAACTGAACTAGGGCTGGGCAGTCATTGTATCGTTTGTCATTTATCATGATAAATTTCTTATGATTTTGATTATCATTGGCATGATAGATTAACATGAATGATGTTTAAAATAACTGTTCACATTGTAGGATTTTGTTTTTACCATTTTCTCTGTTCATTCAATGGAAGCATCAATAAATATTAGTACATTTGAAAATATGATAAATGTAGTTACTGTTTGCAGTTTAGTGATACAAATCACAGTTCATGTGTGACTGTTGTCCTAAAGAGGAGTAATACCAAGAGGAATGTTTTTTGAGAGCGGCATTTGTGTTTGTGGGGCTATAATAGCTGTGACACACATTTACAGTCATACATGTATCTTAAAAAGAAGTAATGAATAGTTTGTATCATTACTTTCATTGTTATCACGATAAAATATCGCGATAAAAACTTAAGTCCATATTGCAACACACCCAAAACTGAACATCTGCTCTTTTAGAAACGAGACAATGGCCAAGTGAGGAACCAGGAACAGGATCATGGCTTAATTTTGGCAACTTGGGGACCAACCCCATTATACTGGTGGTTGTAATGATGTCGAAGATCAATACATAGCTATTTTTTAAACTGGACAGACATGAATCATAACTTTACTGAAGTCTAAGTGTATATTTAAATAAGGAAGAAGGTGATGATTATGAGATTACAGAACTGCTTCCAAACAAAACCTCACCTGTAAGATCCATTGTTCGGTCTATAAAGATGATCGATGCTTTATTAGGAGCAGTCTTTCTTCGGTTTTTCGCCTGATTGTGATTGGCCAGTTCCCCTGCGATGATGCGGCTCATTGGCCCCACAGCAAAACTCTCTTCCCTCATCCCTGCAGCCTCAAACATCGAGTTTAACGCCGAAACCAAGCTTTTAATTTCAATCTGCAGCTCCACCGGAAGCGAATGCCCATCCAGGTCATTCAAAGTGCCAAATCTCTTCTTCTCCGGTCGCTTTGCATTGATGCTCTCCAGGTCTGCTGGGAGCAGGGGAAACAGGTGAGCAAACGGCGACGCCACGATCAGCTGCTGCGACACGTGGGCGAAGACCACAGGAGAGTGCAGGACCTCTGCCGTGTAGTTCATGTTCCCCATCCACTCGCAGAGCTTCTCCTCGAACTGCTCAAACACGGGGAAGCCCTCCATTTCTGTGGACACGTTGTTGGCGAACAGGTGCACGGAGTGGGGGACAGCGGTGAAGACGACGCAGTACTGAAAGTGACTGAGTGATATGATGTCTTTTATGATGTCCACCGTCCTCCCCTTTAACAAAGTGCTCACCACGAACACAGCTTTGGGCTCGTTCTCACCGCACGCTTCGAAACTCGAAAACTGCTTCACGTTCCTGGCTCCCGCTTGCAGCAAGGCTGCAGCCCCTCCGCTCCAGTGGAGAGCCTCTGCACACCTGTCATCCATAAAAACCACGGCTTTCTTCACTTTCGCGAACACCTTCTCCCACATTAGGAGCGGCAGCTGTGTGAAAACCTCTGCGGTTGACATTTTTGCTCATAAACAGCGTCGGTCAGTTGTAAATAAAAGGAAGAATCATCGGAGATGTCACAAAACAAGTTACTCCAACAAACCAAAACACACGTCTCTTCGAGGTGACGTGGCAGTTGGGCGTCGCAGAGTTTAAACGTCACCCAAACGTTGCCATAGTGATAAAGCAGCGCCCAACCGTTGGAGGTGTTGAGTAAATATATATATATATTTGAATGTGTTTTTAAAAGTGTCGTGTCTCCACAAACAAAAACACAAACCGAAGAAACGACAAATTTACAAACGCAATATTTAATTATTGCATTTATTTTTTTAAAAAAACAAACGTTAAACGTTTGCTTTATTGGAAAATTAAGCGGTTAAGATAATTACAGTTGGTTATCACTGCGCGTGACGGCTTTCCTCGGGAACAGCAGTTTACATAATCCCTAAATTTACATTTTTACAATTTTTTTTTTATTTACAAGCTTGCAGGAAGAAATACAGTGATCATTTTAGCAATTTATTTTCTCCTAAATGTTCTTTTGGGATTCAGAATACATGGGTCCTGATGAAGACGACGACCCGTTTCAATGTAGCTAAGTTCAAAATTGCTACATTTCGTTATTTTATAACGTTATGGTCAGTTATCAGACTATAGGCTTCCAATGACATGTATGTTTGCGTTTCTTTTAGGGACATATGACAGCCATGACAAGGAGACAGAAATTTACCAGAGTCCTCATAGGTATGTTATTTATAACAGCAGCAAACAAGACACTATTTATATCAACACTATCACAAGAAAATATTCAGAAGCCAGTCTTCTATTTTCATTCTGTATGCGACATAGATGATAAGGTATGAAATATATGCTTTATTATAGTGTGACAGCAGCAAAGCGACTATCAAAGAAAGTACGTTTACACAAAGATAGATTATTAAACAGAACAAAATAAAATTATGTACAGGCAAAGTAATGTGCAACTGGGTAGGTTAATTTTTTTTTTTAAAAATGATAAAAACCAGAAAGGCAGAGATGTGCAGATACCAGGAGAAATTGTATTTAAAATAAATTAAAACTGTGCAAATACCAACCTGCATATGAACATTTGTTGAGATTGTTGGGAGCTGTAAAGTCTTACAATGGAGTGGGATACATCGTCCACCAATAATGTTATTTTAGCCCCTTAGTCCTCTGTCTCCCACCACCTGCTGCACAAAGCTGGTTTTCCTGGTGAGCTTATCTGAGTGCTTCCTTTCAGCTGTAGATAAGCTACCGCTCCAACACAGAAGATGGCTTCCATGCCAGTTTTGTTCAGGATATAACATCTGTTGCTCTAGAATTACCCCATAATTAACTCCATCCATCTTCTCATCAATTTTAAACATCTCTGTCTTTGCTGATGAATAGCATCCTCACAGCAAAATAGCCACCACCATGTTTCGAATGGTGCGCAGTGTTAATTTTCAGCTTTGGTTTCATCTGCATGGCTTGTGGAAATCTCCGAATGGGACTTGTATATAAAATAGTAGCAAATAGTATATATATATATATATATATATATATATATATATATATATATATATATATATATATATATATATATATATATGTATATATATATACTACCCAATAAATTACATTAAAGTCTCAGCATGTAACCTGTCAACAGATTTGTAGGATACTTTTGGAAGTCAATCTATGATTTTTTTATTATTTTTTTTATTAAAAGTTTGGAATGAAAACATTTAGACTTTTAAAAGTATTTTGTGTAATTTTATTTTCTATTCTCATTCTTAATATTTTATTTTCTGACAATCACACCTCAGTTTGTCAACTTTTTTTTATAACTCTTATCACCTTTTTTCTGGTTTATCTCAGGGGGTTTTTTTCTTTTACAAATGTAGCTATTAATCACTCTCAATTATTTAAAAAATAATAATAATTTGACAAATTATTATTCGTCAACAAGCTTTCAAGTTTAATCTGATAGTAGTATAGATGTGACGATGATGCCATAATAATGACATCTTATTGCTGCATGGAGACAAGGTATTCAGGTAGAATGCAGTGTTCCGCCTGCGTTAATGACCGCGATCATTACAGTTTCACACAGTACATGTGACGGCACAGTGTGCACCGCCTGTAATGTGCCGTGAAGTCAGCCTATTGGAACGTGAATGGATATATCATGCTCATTAAATCTACTGCCAGGGAAAGAGCGCTTGTTTATGTGCTAGAAATATGAATGTAACCAGTCGCGCAAGCGTAGCATTGATTATTCCTGTGGTTGGCTTTACCCCTCAGATTAAATGGAGCATGGAGTGCCACTGAAATTGCATTTGAATTTGTTATAGGAATGATATACTGTGTTTAAAGTGCAAGAGCCTTATTTGTTGTTGGTTGAAATTAGGCCTAATTGGCTGAGGCTTAGGATGCAAAGTGAAAACTGAAACGTGATCAACAATTTAAAATAGAAATGTAGAGTTTTTGATAGATTTAAAAAAAAAATTGTACTAATTATAGAAGAAAGATGTAAGACTTGTAGAGAGGCAAAAAATAATTGTGTTTCTGTTGTTTGAAGGGAAAATCCAAAACCTCTCGTTGATGGGCTGGGTCAGTGATAATGGAACTGCTGATGTTTCTAAAACTGCAGTGTTTTTTTGTTTTTTTTTTTGCCTCTAGGATATATGTATGAACCTGCATTATTTGTCAGGAACCCACTTCTGTCAAGGTGTTGCTTTGAGATATACTTTCGTAATGTTCTGGAGAGGAGGCGCAGTGCATTAGCCCTCCATTTCAAAGCACCATTTGAAATGGGGCTATTAGCACTCAGCTCAGTCCAAAGTGTTTGTCTGAGTTCAGGTTATTCTCATAATGATGCAGGTAACAGCGGCATCAATGTGATTTCTTGCAGCTCTGAGCAGTTACCTGAGAATCCTGAGTCCAATTCTGAAATAAGGACAGATCCAGTTGGTATGTAGCCTTTTAAAATTACTTAAAAAAAACGAAACAAGAAACATGCATGTTTAAGAAAAGAAGCTATCTTTATCCAGTCTTCAAACATACATAGAAGATAAATTTAGTTTATTTGTGTTTTATTGTTTTGATTGTTTTATTTCTAAAATATTCATTATATTAATGAATAAATAAAAAATAAAATAATATATTTATTCCTTAGCATTTTAACTAAAAAAAAGTATATGCTCAGCAGTTGTCTTTATTAATGTATTTAAAAAACAAATGTGAAAATGTTTATCAGGCTGTAAAAAAGAGGAGGACGAAGATGTGGTTCAGAATGTCCAGGAAGTCAAAGAGCCAAAGCAGGATGTGGAGCCTGTAGAGGAAAAGCCATGGAGGAAGTCTGGTAAATTGTTATTAGTTAACGTACATAATCTGTAATCTCATTTTGTGTTTTTTTTTTCACCATTCAAATTAAGACTTCTTAACTGTTTCTTTTATGTTTAGGGGCTGATATCACGGATTACTTTAACTACGGTTTCGATGAAGAAAGCTGGAAGGCGTACCGTATGAAGCATGCTAAGCTCCAAGCCTTCCAAGCACAACATATCGCTAATGCCATGGTAAGAGTGTGTGTTATCAATATTTAAAAAGAGAACTGTCCTTTTATGGGACAATACAGACAGACAGAGGGCAGATATTGACATTGGTATTTCTGCCTGGGTTCAAGAGGGAGCAAGCTAAATATGAAGTGGAGGTGATGTGTGATTCTTCTAACTCAGGCAGACCATCTAGGAAATCCTGCAGGTCAGTAAGATGTTTTTTACAGCAATTATGGGGACATGGCAAAATAAAGGTCTTTCAACAAAAGAAGTACGGATTGGATTTGTAAAAGAAATGTATGAAATGGAGAGAATTACTTCTTTAATGAATTATATAATTATTTATTAAAAATCAGAAGAAATGGAATACATTATTTCATTCATACAAAGGACAAGTATTTGCATCGGAAACCAAATATCGTAATTAAGGAAATGTAAAGACGAAATGACATAACCTTACTTTTTTTTTGTCTTATTTTTGTCCATTTAACATTCTTCATCCTTCATATTCGCCATATATCCTGTGTCTGTGCAACTTATCTGTATTAGCTGATTCTACTTTAGTGCATTCTATGTGCAATAATTGAAAAAAAAAGTTCAAAACCTAATATTTGTTGTTATATATCACCCAATACTGTTTTGTTTACTAGCCATCATCAATACTAAAATATATAAAATGTCCTTTAGCTCGATCGTTAAAGAAGATACTCACCACAGGCCTGACTGTCAGGATGGACTGGACTGGCAGGACGCGTTATTTAATTAAAGATTCTTGATGATGTTCTCAACCATGGGCAAGGTTACCCTTCAGGGGAGGTCATGTAAATCTGAGCGCTACGCGGGGTCACAGATCTAACCCACTCAGTTTGACAGAGCAGGACCAGAAGGGCTGCAGGAAGTCGCTCTGCAGCGTGCTGCAGACTCACGCAGCCCAGTCCTGCACATGATGTGCTTTTCTTAACATTTAGCAGTTACATCACATTTTTGCATATTTAATTCATAAAAATATTGAAAAAGAATATTTTTACAGCCTTCTTATTGGAGCAAAGCTCTTGCTAAACTGTATGAATTTCCTTCAAAGATGAAAAGAGACACCAAGGAGCTGGAAACTGTTCATTAATGAGCTGCCATTGGATATAACTGTTACTCTCCTTTTGCATGTGTTTCTTCCTCTCTCTCTCTCTTCCTCTGATTAAGTTCTAGTGACAGAAAGAGGTTAGTAGTGTCCTATCTATGTGTGTGTGTGTGTGTGTGTGTGTGTCTTTCTCTGTAAGGGGCTGGTGTTTTAGAGTGGGTGTGTATGCGTGTACATGGGGGGTAGATGTCATTAAGGGACTGTTGTAAGAAGAAGACAAAATGACCCAGATAAGGAGGTTTAATGCACTAATGGACCAGTGGAGGGTTGATGCAGGGGAGAAGGATTAGGCTAAACTAATGTGGTGTTTTTAATATATTATAAGTTCACATCAGCGTAACATATGCTCATGATTTAAGCCTGTTTGGAGGGAGAAAAAAAGCTTCAGTGACCTACTTTTTGGTGTTGTACCTCATAATTGTCACATAAATGTACGTCATGTTGTGTGCGTTGC